ATATGGTGTCAGTTCAAAAGGCTGTTGCTGAAAAAGACAACCCCACAAGAAGGTAGAACTAATTTCCTGTGTGTTTCCCTGTCTCTACTTTGCATCGTTGACTTGTGAGGTAGAGAAGTGTCATGTTTTAAGGATTGTTGAACCTTTCTGAGAAGGATGGGAGAAATTGACACTGGGCTGCTGTTTGAAGCAGCATCATTAGACTGAGGATAAAAACTAGTTGCAACCTCAGTCAATAATTGGTATAGTGGCCCCTTAATATCCTTTCGAGGTTGGTTCTAAAATACATACATTCTCCCAGTGATCACTTAAATCCATGGATGCTCAAGTCCCATTATGTACAATGGAGTAGCAAAACGGTGTTCTTTATATAAAATAGAACAATTAAGGTTTGCTTTTGGGATTCTTTTTAAATGGGGGAGAATGTATATACATTTTAAGAGATATTTATGTATTTTTTTAATGGTGAATTGAACTACAGTAGCAATGTGTAGTATGCCATTCGCTCAAAAGTTGGCATTAATCAAATGAATGCTATCACTATGAGATAGGCAGATGATCAAAGAAAATGTTGAAAGCATGGTTGTCATTTAAGGAGCACAAAACCATTTTGAAATGCTATTTGCAGTTTGAGAATGCTGTGGAAGTAAAACAACAATAGAGGCAACAGAACATCCAAAGTGTCTTAACAACTGCACTTGTTCCTGATCAGTTTGAAACGCATGGTGCTGTGTGTGATGTGCACAATGGAAGATTCAGGAGATGTTGCACAGCAACAAGCCGTGCTTCTCCTATGATGCTGGAACAGTTTACACACTCACCAGAGATGTCTACCAATCAATGTGCACATGAGACAGGAGTTAGCTGAACAAGTATATGGCACATTCTTAAATCAGCAAATTGGGAAGTTTTCACCTCAAGATTATTACATGCACTGAATGAAGACAGCCCTGATCTCAGGGCTCAGTACTGTGAATTGTTCCAAAAAATGGTATAGAAGGATGAGTTTGTGGAGAAAATGATTTGATCTGACAAAGCACAGTTTAAATTGAACAGAAGAATGAAGAGGTGCAGCCAAGTTTCCCCCACATTCTCCAGACTTAACACCCCTTGACTTAACGCTCCATGGCAGTAGTTCCCAACCTTTTTTGACCAGGAACCACTCTCCAACATTAGTATCAAAAGGGTTACGAATCAGTTTTTAGTCAACTTTGGATTTGCTTGGTCATTTGGGGTGCTGATTCAGAAAATTGCATTGCAAAGACCACATCAGCTCTAGTTTCTGATACAGAACATGTGCCTGATGTGGTAGTAGTAATCTTTCGTGGGTAGTCAGCCTCTCCCCTATCGACATCCCCATTACCTTAGGACTATAAGAGGGTTCTGCAAGACCAATCGCTCTTGTTGCTGCGTGGTTTTGAGGCAATAGTGTAGTAAAATGGTTAGACCGCAGACCATATTTTCATTCTTGTGGACCACTGGCAGTTCACCGACCACAGGTTGGGAACCACTGGTCTATGTGCCATAGAAACCTGCTACACTGGCAATACTTCGGGAATAAATTGAAATGGCATGCATAGCGATACTAGTGCACACTTTGGTCGACGATACTCGGGCACAGTCCACCATAATCAGAAGTGTCTGGAAACTGATGGTAACTACTTTGAGCACCTCTTGTAATTGCAGAAGCCAAATGTGACTTGTATTTATCTTTTGTGTTTGTGATATATATTATTACAATTTTAATTCTGCCTTTTCCTATCTTAAAATGTATTTTTAGCACCCTTGGTATTTGCCATGGATGGTTGAATCTGTGAATGCCTAATCTGTGGATAAAGAGGGCTGACTGTACCACCACTGACTTGAAAAGCATTTTGAAAGGGTCTTAACTAGATAAAAAACGAACATTAGTGATTTTGTAATTGGGGGACAAAACTTTAAGGATTTTTTTAACTTGGTAGATTGCATAAGAGAAGCTGTTATGTGTTTAATACTGGTGTGAAAGTATCTGTCCAGCGGGCAGGCACAAATCCACTTTCTTCTGGATTTTGAAGTGAGATGGAGACAAGGGGATCAAAATTTACCTTGATTTTCTCAAATCATGGATCAAACTTGGAATAACGGATGAAATGACTTCCCTCAAATATGCAGACATCACAGCACTGGCCAACATACAGAATTGAGAGTTAAGAACATCCAAATTGGAGACTGACTTCCAGGCAAGCTTCTGCTCTAGAATCTATTCGTTTTAGATATTCACCTAGATAAAATTGTCTAAATGGGGTATGTTTGAAGGTTGCAATGTAATTTCATCAATGTATCAGATCTTAACTATATGGAAATGTAAAATGTAGACTTTGACCGATCTGTTCTGCTTGTTGGAAGAAATTAATCAAAGAATGCTGAAGAAGTTAATTTAGTCCTTCTTTAAAAGACAGATAGTAGTGCTATCTGATTTGTTATTCAATTATACTATCACCCTAATCTAAAAGATCTGCAAATCAGAATATGTTGATTTGTAGACCCGTTTTATGTTTTTGTGCTTCAAAAACAACCATATTGAATTTGCCAAGTAACTTAGAATTCTTTATAAATTATGCAAAACAGTAAAATGTCATATGCATGTTTTGTGCAATTAATTTGGCTTCTAGATTTGAGAAGAGGCATAAATCTGTGTGAGCAATGAAACTGCATCATTGACCCATTAGAACTAATCGCCTCTCTCCGATACCAGGGCTAAGGTCCTTACCACACAGCTGAATAAAATCCCACATCTGCTTTGAACTGGAATATATAGCAGTGTGGACTGAGATGATCCAGTTCAAAGCAAATTTTGTGGGATTTTCTGCCGTGATATTTTGGAATATAGGGCTGTGTGGAAGGGTCCTTTGAATTACCAAAACATTACAGAATATAGCAAATTTGGCTTTTATTTCAATGCTCCCAATGTCTCTTCAGGAATATGTCCCTTTAAATTGAGTGGAACCTGTTTCCATGTGAGAGGTTATAAGATTATATCCCCAGTGCCAGAGAAACTGACATTTGAACTGGGGGCCCTTCCACACTGCCAGAATACCAAGGCAGAAAATCCCACATTATCTGAGTGCAGACTCGGATAACCCAGTTCAAAGCAGATATTGTGGGATTTTCTGCCTTGATATTCTGGGATATAGGGCTATGTAGAAGGGCCCTAGATGCACCTTGGATGCTGTTTGCTCTGCTGACAAATTAGTAGGCAGCCTTAAGCAAACTATATTTTCTCAGCTCACCCCCTCCCCCATTACTACCTTAGTCACTCTCTTAAGAATCATGCTTTCTTTACATGCCTTCTTCCTCAACTTATGGCAACCCTCTCATAAGGACTTCTTGGCAACATTTGTTTGGAGGAAGTTTTCCCTTGCCTTCCCCTAAGAGTATGACTTTCCCAAGGTTCCTGTATCTGAGCAGGGACCTGAACCCTGTTCAAAACTCAAACCACTACATAAACTGTCTCATATAAGAGTAATAATAGGTACAAAGCCTGTGGGTTTTGTTTGGATGGGATTTTTTTAAAGGATTTAATTCTAATAAAACTTGGTGTGTAAGGCAAGTGCTTGGATGATGTCTTTATTCCTCCACATTGAAGTACTTTGCACATTTACAGTTGAAGAACGTATCTCCCTCTACGAACCACCTAGGATCTTAAGATCATCTGAGGAGGCCCTGTTCTCGGTCCCTCCACCTTCACTATCATGTTTGGTGAGAACGTGAGACAGGGCCTTCTCTGTGGTAGCCCCTTGGCTATGGAATTTCCTTCCAAATGAGATCAGAACTGCTCCATCACACCTGACCTTCCAGAAAAAAAGTGAAATCCTGGCTGTGGTTTCAAGCGTTCGTGGATTAGACTGACTTGCTGGCAAAGAAATTGTTTTAATGGACTATTTTGGACTGCTTTTAGGATGACGACTTAAATTGGAGAACTGTTTTAATGTTTTTATATTGTTTTATTATATGTATATTGTTTTACTCTGTTTTTGGCACTGTGCTGGGCCAGTTGATAGCCTCCCTAAGTCCCTTTGCAGAGGTTGAGATAGGATGGGATACAAATGCCCTAAATAAAATAAATAAATGTGGAAGTCAGACTTGTGCATTGTACAGTAGAGTCTCGCTTATCCAGCCTTCAGTCATCCAACGTTCTATAGCATCTAATGCAATCTGCCTCCCGCCTGGATCCACAGTTGTTTCAATACATTGCAATGTTTGGTGCTAAATTCGTAAATACAGTCATTGCTACATAACGTTACCATGTATTAAATTGCTTTTTCTGTTGATTTGTTGCCAAACAAATTTGTAATTTGTAAAATCATAACATAATTTGACGTTTAATAGGCTTTTCCTGAATACCTCCTTATTATCCAACACTTTCATTAATCCAACATTCTGCTGGCCCATTTATGTTGGATAAGCAAGACTCTATTGTACTTTGTGAAGCACTGTAAAGGAAGATAAGCTTCACGGAAAAGGTCATAGAGGAAATATTAGGATTGTGTGTGTGTGTGTGTGTGTGTGTTGTGCACAGCTTGTAGAAGTAACTTTTTGGATTATAACTCCCAGAATCCTTAGGGGAGAACAATGGGTTAGGTTGACAAGGAATTGTAACCCCTCCCCAACCCCAGCAGTTTTTCAAAGCTCTAGTCCAATGTCTTCTCCATGTTCCTGCCTCTCTCCCTCCCTTGCCATCTTGTTCCGGAATGACCTGATGAGGTGCAAATTTGTAGATCTGAGTTGGTGAATGTGTGATCCAGGCAGCAATGTCTCTTTGAGATCTCATAGGCAAATGAGTCATAGTTAGGTTCCATCTTTCTCTCTCATACACACTATTTTGACAGTTCCTACCAATCCCCAGGGAGTGGACTGAGCTGTTGCGTTGCTGTCTCAGGCAGTTTGGCCTACTATTCATGCTAAAGCTCCTTTCCAGTGTCCAATTTCTCTGTGTCAGCCCTCCCAATGGATGGCAGCTGTCTTTTCCCCTCTCACCCTGTCACTTGAGTTCCTCGCGGTGCTGGGACAGCAAACTTTTATACATTAAGTCCTGGCAAGGGGAAACTCTTTATCTCCTATGGATCTCTAAAGTGAGATATTGGGCCAGACAGAAGAAAGTGAATTTTCGGGAGTGTCTGATATTTTTCAGAAGGATTTAACCTGCTGGGAAGTGGTAGCTTTATTCTTGGAGGTAAGTACTTTCCACTTTTCCCCCATTGGATACTGGTATAGTCTGTTTTCCCTCTACATGGAGATGTGATTTTTTTTTGGCATTTTAAAGCTTATGAACATGACAGATGTTTTTCACGCAAACTGTCGAAAAGCTGTCCTCTTGATTGCCACTGTATTTTACCCATTTTAATCTGATTGGCTTCATAAGATGGATAAATGCATGTCTTTCAGTCTGTTGAAACATAAAATGGTTGACACTCCTTTTCTGGCTGAGGGTAGGAAGAGATTCAAAGGACAGATAATACTGCAGAAATGTTCCATTTTCCTATAGTCTTATCAGTCAAGGATTGTGTGGGATTCTCACACATACAGAAACTCTCCCACCAAAACTTTTGTAAACAAAGATTGAAACATTCCCAAAGCATGCTCATTTTTGTCACCTGACTTCTGCAGATGGATAATTTCCAATGAAATTTGCTGCTAAGCAGGGAAAGTTTAGTACCTCTCAGTCACTTGCCATTTTGAAAAGACAGGGAAGGACATTTTTGGCCCGTTGTAGAAGCTCTGAGGAGATTACATGCGGGCTTGTCCTTCCACTTTGAAGAGCGAGGAAGATTTTGTCCTTGGGGAAGCAGCTATTTCAGATGTTCAAAGCAAGAGGTTGAGTTTTACACAGATATGGTGCATGTGATGTTCTTTGTTCTATGCTGGAAGCTGTTCTTTGGTGTCCCAACCATGTAATGGAGAGTTTCTGGTGGAGCTCCAGGCAGCCATGATGAAATCTCTAGGAACCTGAGATGGGTGGCTCCTATGAGATTTGGATCCATTTGTGGACACACGGACACCAGAGCAGTTACAGAATGGAAAGCCAAAATGCTTTTCCACTGACGTCCCGCCAATGACGTGGGTAATGGCACACAAGTACCTTGTGTCATGTTTAGCCACTCCTTGACTGTCATAAAGGCTTCGGAAATGGAATACTGGGAAGCAAAAGAAAAGAATTGCCTTAAGGGCCAAGAATTGTTTCCATGTGTGATATTGTGGTCCAGTCTTTCTGTTCATTACTAATAATACTTTTAGAAAATTTTGGAAAATTGTGCAGCTTGATGTATTTTCAGTCAGCTTAGTGAGATGTTTAGGAGCATATATTTGGATTTTTACCTGGGGCTGAAGTTGTGTTGGGTAAGCATCAACACTATTTTTTACACTAAGCTAAAGTATCTGGAGTAAGCATAACAAAGAATGTGTGGAGAATGCTTTTCCCTCATTTCTGAGTTAGCACAGATTGTCCTTACACATCCATGATTAAGGAACTGGACTTCCCAGCATCTAGTTTATAAAGTAGTGTGGTATTTGTTTGTACCTTTTCAGTTCTGGATGCTGTCTGAGCTCATCAAATGTTAATGACCACATGATAACGTATCATTCCGTTTGTATACAAGTTTCTTTTGACAATGAATTACTCCTGGCAACTCCCCTTTGGCCATGCTGGTTGGTGTGTCTTGTGAATTGTAATCTAACCTCCCTGCTCAAACTTTTCCAGACTCTGTCTCATACCCTCTTGAGAAAAACAGTGCGGCATGGAAAACAAGAGTGTCAATCTGTCGAGAAACTTCTGTACTGTCTCACTTGATCAGATAAACTCCATCTCTGGAACATATCATCATAGCTTTCTAAGTCTGATGCCATCCTTTGAGCAGATTTTATTGCAGAGTTAAATTTCTTCAACAGTTGTGAACTCTCAGGAACCCTGGAAATTATAGTTCTATGGGTTTTTGCTTCTTAGCACTCACTCAGATTAAACAACATTCCAAGGATCTGTGACCTTAGAATAGATGATACAGAATCGTATAATTGGAAGGAACCACAAGGCACATTCAATCCAACCTCCTGTAATGCAGGAATACTCAGATTAGTTATAAATCCATATAACTGATAAATACCCTTGGTGCTGTTCATTCTGTGCCATCCAGATTTTTTGAACTAAAACTATTGTAACCTCTGAATTCTGATTTTTTTTTTGTCGTGTCAGGAGCGACTTGAGAAACTGCAAGTCGCTTCTGGTGTGAGAGAATTGGCCGTCTGCAAGGACGTTGCCCAGGGGACGCCTGGATGATTTGACGTTTTTATCATCCTTATGGGAGGCTTCTCTCATGTCCCTGCATGAGGAGCTGGAGTTGACAGAGGGAGCTCATCCGCCTCTCCCCGGAGTCGAACCTGCAACCTGTCGGTCTTCAGTCCTGCCAGCACAGGGGTTTAACCCACTGTGCCACCAGGGGCTCCTTGAACACTGATCATATGCCGCCTGAGAATGATAAGAGCAAGGTTGCCAAGCGAACAGTATCCCAGAGATTTCAGGGCCAAAACCTGGAACCAGGGAGAGGATTCTTGTGATGTCATAGGGTTGGGCCTTACTCCAAATTACCATGTTGAGCCTCAGTGTGAGCACTCACTGTGTCTTACCCTAGCACCTTCCCCTGTTCGGTGTACCAAGGTTGTTCAAACACATTATGCATGCAACGCTTTTAAGACGAGCCAATGAATCACAATATCAACTGGGAATGGGTGGAGGCACATTTTAAGGCCACCTCATACCCAAAAATAACACTCCAGCATTGCTCATCCTGAGATCAGTGTCTTTATCTGGAGAACCGGGAAAGCACAGTAGTTTCCCAAAATCTGGAAACCCTTAAGGAGAGTTATACCCTGAAATATCTTGAGATCACCTAGTTGCTTCCCCTTGTCCTATGCTGAGTTAGACAAAACTCTATTGGAATGCGTATTAGAAATGGATCTATACACGTTGTGAATTCTGTTTGTTTGAACTGGATTAAACTTTTTGAAAACAAGAAATGGCCAAATGACCCAGCCTTAACAGAAAGTAAAAGAAGATAAAAGGTAAATAGCTTGTATTGGACTTGACTAGGAACTCTAGGGGTGGATGTTTAGATCTAAACAAGCCTGATAACAACAACAAAAAAGGGATAACATGGGCTAGCTCCCATAACCCCTGGCCAGCATAGATAATGGTAAAGAGTGATCAGCATTGTAGGCCAATGGTATGTGTTACTAGTTCTACACCTTACAGACATAATGAAGGAGCTCTGTGAAAAATTATCCTTTGTATTGCCAAAGGCTTTCCTGGCTGAATCATTGGGGTGTTGTGTGGTTTCTGGGCTGTATGGCCATGTTCAAGCAGTATTTTCTCCTGACATTTCGACTGTATCTGTGGCTGGCATCTTCAGAGGATCTCTGAAGATGCCAGCCACAAATGAGGCAAAACATCAGGAGAAAATACTGCTACAACACAGCCATACAGCCTGGAAACCACACAACACCTCAAAGTATCCTTTATTAAGATTAGAAAGAGAAAGTTCCTTATATGTATTGTGGTCTTTATCATCACTTGGTAGCTTGTCTTGGTCTGACACTTCCACAAGACATCTCATGAAAAGGGACAACTTTGTTTGCTATTCACAGGTGGGTAGAGATGGGGGGGGGGGGTTGTTAATTAAGTTCAAAAGTCCTTCCTTACCATGAATGAAAAACCATCTGTTTGAAAACATAATTCTGATGAATAACTAATTTTGTCATTGTAGCAATTTGAACCATTTTGCAGACTGTGTCTGAGTTAAATTTTGACAATTGCCCTTGTCCAAATTGATTCTAAAATGATACATGTTCAGATTCATAATCAACTCTTTCCTGCTTCTGGTGCTGTAATCCAGATTCAAAAGCAATTTTTAATATTATTAATGAAAGCACTGTTTAAAATGGGGCATAGGGTAGTGGGCCTACTATTCTACCAGTAGCTCCCCTGCCCTGTTTGTTCATTGTAAGAATTATTTTGCAATGAATCATAGAATCATACTGTTGTAAGAGACCACATGGGTCATCCAGTCCAACCCCCTGCCATGCAGGAAAAGCACAAAGTACCCCTGACAGATGGTCATCCAGCATCTGTTGAAAAGCCTCCAAAGAAGGAATTTCCACCACACTCTGAGGCAGAAAGTTTCACAGTGGTGAACAACTCGTACGGTCAGGAAGTTCTTCCTAATGTTCAGGTGGAATCTCCTCTCCTGTAATTTGAACCCATTGCTCCAAGTCCTAGTCTTCAGGGTACGAGAAAGCAAGCCTGTTCCTCAAACTTGTGACATCCTTTCAAATATTTAAACATGGCAATCATGTCTTCTCTCAACCTTCTCTTCTGCAGCTATACGTCCCCAGCTTTTTAAGCCGCTCCTCATAGGCCATGGTCTCCAGACCTTTGATCATTTTAGTCACCCTCCTCTATACACCTTCCAGCTTGTCAATATATCTCTTAAATTGTGGTGCTCAAAATTGGACACAGTATTCCAAGTGAGGTCTGACCAAAGCGGAATAGAGGGGCACCATGACTTCCCTTGATCTAAACTCCTTTTGATGCAGCCCAAAATCCAGTTGTCTTTTTAAAAGTATCTTTATTAGAATTTTGCTTACAGATATATATATTTTTTAAAACGAAAGTCAGGAAGAGGGATAGGGGCTGGTAGATGGGGGACTTGGTGGGGGGAGGGGTTGGGAGATATCCATTAGGGTGTGTAAGGTAGGGCGGGGAGGGAGGAGAAAAAGTGGGAATGAAAAAACACCCAAAATAACTACAATAAAAAAAGAAAAAGGAAAAAAAGAAAGAAAAAAAGAAGAAAAAAAGAATGAAAAATGGAGAGTTGACTTCCTCCAACCAACTGGACATTATATAAGGATTATACAAAAACTCAACAAAGTTTACAACGACCTTAAACTACAAGATAAGATGGAAGAAAATTTAGGTACCCGTTCAACGAAGAAATAATAAGAGAAGCAACCTACTACAAACAACTTAATTGAGATAGAGAAAGAAGATCAAGACGCAGGGAAGACGAATGTGGAAGTCAACTCTACATCCAGTTGTCTTTTTAAGCTGCTGCATTACATTGTTGGCTCATGTTCGACTTGTCCACTAATACCTCAAGATCTTTTTCACATGGACTGTTGTCAGGT